TATATAAATATTAAATAATAAACTTATATATTTTTTATAAGTCTGATAATAGATGTAAAAAATAAATACATTTAATTAAGATTTATTAAAATTATGAATTAATTATTTTAGGAAATACAAAGAATATCAAATGAGAATAATCATGGATGGGTGGATACTCCACCAGAAGCCCCTCTCTTTTCAACAAATGGTAGTAGTTACATCGCAATAACTCCAGTGAAAGATGGACCGACGGGATATTTCAAGCATATAATTTGGGCTAGTGTGCTTCGAAAACAAGTAGTGCCTTTGACGCATGGAAAATTTGAGGTCGTTAGGATTTTAGTATGGGACCAAACAAATAATACTATGTGAGCAAGTAACTCATAAAATTAAAGCCTACAATTTAACATAGTAAACAATTTGCATTTTAATTAGATATTTCATCGGTATTCCATTTATAAGACCGGGTCAGAGACATCTCTATCGTATAAGTTCTACTCTTCCTCGACTAGGATCGCCCTTGAGGCCTCCTATGTGCCTCACATGCACCATCTTATCTGACATGACAAACGATGACGAAAATGGACATCGAATTAGTTCTGTAAATTGGCAGAATGGTCTCATCAATCGAAATGAATGGCATGAAACTGATAATAACAAGGAACATCATCAAGCAAAGGATAAAAAGGACAAGTCGAAAAACAGGAATGTTTCAAGTGAGTGCCAACATTATTCTTTATCCTATATCTTATTTGAAAAATTTAAAACTTACAATATTTTATTATTTTCTAAAGAAAAAAAGATACGTATTATAATAAATAAAAACACTATTAATATTTATTATTCATTGAAATATGTATTTTAAATTAAAATAGAGTAATAGTTTAGTACTTGTATATAATATAGGAACTTGAATAGAAATTTGTTACATATGAAAGAAATATATTTTTCTAAAAAATTTCACAATTTAAAAAAGAAAAAGTTTACTAACGTCGCGGTCTGATTTACGCTCACAGAGCTTAAGAATTATTTTATTTCCTTGTTTGTCAAATGTTAAAAAAACAGATGTATTTAGGAACCCCTTATTTAAGTGTGAGATTTTTCTCGCTTTGCGTTACTCGATTACCTCGATTACACTTTACAACACAAAGCGAGACCGGCCATGCTCCTTAATTACACGAGCTGGCAAATTGCGGGGGACTGAAATTATCGGATATCAATAAAGAGCTTAAGAGCTGAACCGATCAAATTCTAAATGTGTTCAATCGATTGCTTCCACTAGGAATATATAATGAAAATGTTTTTATTTTTTCTCTACGTGTCCTACGAGTGAAGATATTACGACGCAAAGTCTGAATGGCTGCGTTCAGCGAAAAAAAGCAACTTTGCGACTGTTGTAAAATTCTTGAATTGATTATGATTGATTTACACATTTAGATTCCAGTGAGGAACTAAGGGCAAGACCAATCATACTAAAAAATTGTACAACAGTTGCAAAGCTGCTTTTTTTTGTTGAACCCAGCCAATGTGTCGAAATTTATCTCCTGATTTTAAGATACGTCGTTACTGAAATGTTCGTCGACCAGAGGAGAAATGTACGGTTCATTTTTTCAATAATAGATGGCTTTTGACTTTATATCATCTATCGATCTAACCAGTGCAGACCAGCGTTGCACGTGACGGCTGTGACGCGCGCGGCGCGAATTATTCAAAATGAAATATCGAGATCGTCGCCGAAGAAGTGAGTGTCTAGATTTATAGATGTTCGCTGTCGAGGAATTAAGTGTTTAGGTATTGTTTACGTGTTCGCTATTGAGGAACTGAGTGTCTAGGTGATTGATATCGAGTATTTGCAAAGACATAGAGAATGGACTACGAAATCCGTGCGTCTGGTTGATAAATGGTTGATAAAAATAAGAGAGAGAAAGAGAGAGAGAGAGAGAGAGAGAGAGAGAGAGAGAGAAAGAGAAAGAGAGACCGTGGAAGACGGCCAATCTCTATCCCTTTCCGTTCAACGGTGTAATAGGAGAGAGAATAAGAGATTGGCTGTCTTCCATGGTCCCTCCTTCTTGTTATTGTCGACCACATTTGAATACTATTAGGATACGGATCGCGCAGTCCATTCTCTATGCCTTTGAGTATTTGTATATCATTTGGATTGAATGAGCAACAGGGCTGTAACTTCGAGCCAATTATACACAAAAGAATCACTTAGGTTTTATTATTTTAATAAAAAATGTTATCATCTAAGTTTCATTTTTTAATTTAATATACAACAGTTTTTTATTCGAGGTTTATACATATATGATTTGGATTGAGTAAGGTAACAATTTTTATAGAACGTTCTGAGGACGGCTAAATGCTTAGTTGTCATTCGTTCAATATACGTCTAATTTCATTAGATACTCGGCCTCATGCGATCTGTGTTTTTAGAAAGCGGCGACCCATCTTGTCAATATCACAATGCGATCTTCCCATCCGCGGACTTTGAATATTTCATTCTCGAGTGCCTTGGACCTGGTGTACCTACCGTGGCCCTTTACAAAATGGAAATGTCCACCCCGCGACTCCTCGCAACATTGCAGAATAACACGTCGTTGCGCGTATGTTATAAACTTCACTCAAATTATAAACTTTAAATTATCCTGTTAAATATATTTTTAATTAAATTTCCGAAAACCAATCTTTCGATTTCGATGAAACTTTGCAAAAGGCTTTATTTCAATTTTAAATAAAAGATTTTAAAGGGGTTTTTGGTGACTTTTACGAAAAAGCGATTGTTTAATATAAATTAGTAAAACGAATAGTAAATGTTTGAGTTAATCATGAAATTATCGATTTTAATAATT